TTTTAAACTGAGTTTCCCACACAAGTTGCAATTATGTCCAATCTCTTGAGGCTCAAAAAGCGATCTTCCATGATTTTTCTCATCCAGGTTTGTTTTTAGCTTTTGTTAAACCTGATCATCCAGTATCTACTGTCATTCATGCACGATGGGTGAAATGGATTATGACATCTGCTGAGATTGATACATTTCTATTTAGTCTGCCTTTGATGAGACATGTCATTGCTTCCAAAGCTTTTTCATTGGGTTGTTGACTGGAAGACCTCCTGAAGACTGTGGATTTGTCTCGAGAATCCCCAATTAGGGAGTTTTACTTCAGACAAAATTCACAATTTACATCTTAGGTTATTTCACAGCTTTGAACTAGTAAATATGAGCATCTGTGTCTTTTAATAAAATTACCAGATTTTACTATTAACATGATGTAAAGTCATGATTTTATTAGACATGGAGGCAAATATTGGCCCTCCATGAATTATGTTCTTCATTCATTCCCCTCCTCTATTTATGCTCATTTAGTTACCAATGGATTTGTCTGGTATTATCTGGTTGTTTTCTTTATTTCCATATTGTTTGCTTAAATATCATTATGTGATGTAACATTTTATTATTAATTGATAATTTATAGATTATTTAGTGAAGTATTTCCATTATATGGATTTTAGTTCAAGATTTATGGTCTTGCCATAACAATTTCTCACATTCTCTTGTATTTTAAGTTTGGCGTATCACTTCTGGTTTCTGAGGACTTGTTCCAATTGGATCTTGATTTACACTTTGCAACAATGAAGATAGGAGCCACACTCAATCCCAGCAGGCACCCGGTGCTCCGGAGCAGGACCAGCAATCCCACAACGATAAGGCAAAAAAAAAATCTCCAGACACTCAAGGTGTTCAAGCCGAAGGCAGTTTTAATAGAACAGAAAACAGCAGCAACGTTTCGACCTGGTAAGAGGTCTTTGTCTATATTGACCATGACCTCTTAGCAGTTCGAAACGTTGCTGCTGTTTTCTGTTCTATTAAAACTGCCAGCGGCTTGAACACCTTAAGGGCCTGGAGATTTTATTTTTTTGCCTTGATTTGCACTTTGTCTCATTGATCACAATTGGTTGTTTTGTTGAAGATCAACTACTATGTATTGTCTTTGTTCTTTTTGACTCTTGCTTATGGAAGGATCATCTGGAAAGAGAAGTAATGTTGTTATTGACTAATGAGTTATTTTGTTAACTCTTACTGGGTTTTTTATTTATTTGTTCTACAATTGTTCATTCATTTCTTTCTTTGCTGCTGAGAAAGTAAATAAAGAGATGAGCAAATATGAGCCTCTGTGTCTTTAAAGGAACACTGTAGTGCCAGGAATACAAACATATATTGCTGACACTATAGTATTTAACTAATTATTTAGGTCCATAGCCCCCATGCATCGCTTTGCAAAGATGATTTTACTCACCTTTTCTCCCACGCTGCACTTAGGAACGCAGTGTGAGGCTATTGTACATGCTGTGCAAAAACGATGCGCCAACCATCATCTCCTCATAGAGATGCATTGAATCAATGCATCTCTATAGGGAACATACAGTGCCTCCATGCAGAGTGGACATGCTGAACGCCAGTGCTGCATTCTGTGCAGCACTGAGACAGAAAGCACCTCTAATGGCCATCTGAGTGACTGCTACTAGAGGTGTTACTAGGCACCAATGTAAACACAGCCTTCTCTCTGAAAAGTCATTGTTTACATTAAAAAACCTGCAGGGGCTCCATTACAACTACATCAAAATGTGCTAAATTATATATCTATTTACCATAATGCCAAGCGTTGATTTAATTCGTACTAATATTCTTTCAGCAAGCATAACTAGAAGATATTACCTCACCACCCTAACCTTTCATTAATTAAAATAATCGGAGACAATTTAAAAAAAAAAAAATGTTAAGGGTTAAAATACACACAGACCACAAAAAAAAAAAAAAATAATTATATATAAAAATGTTGTATATGAATAATGCGCAAATGGTATGCATGTCAATGTATAAGACGATACTTACCTTACCACTGTTCCCCATCCCCTTTCTATTCTGTACCCTTATAAAACTGAAATAAAAATTGTCGAAGTAAAAAAAAAAATACACACAGACATTTATACAAGTAATGTGTTCCAAGGAGGAAATCACATATGGTTGGTCATCATAGGTTAACACCACAGATCCTTCTGTATCATTACATCAACTAGATAGGCATTTGGAAGCAAACCAAAGTTCAGTATGGAGAACTCAGGGGTCCTTCTGAGACTATAGAGTCAGAGAAAGGTGAGTAATATGTTCTGCCTTGGTATTTCTGCTAGCTTGAAAAGGTCAGCAGGAGACAAAACGCTGTCTCCAGAACTTTTCTCTTGCTGTCAATGCTAATTCCACTCCCTACCATCAGCAAATGTGGTTATAGAGGGAGTGCATCAGCATACATTACTGGTATGTGCGTAGCTAATGCCAGACGTGCTGGGATGATATTTACCCTCAGAAAAGTGGATGAAGGAGGGGGGAGAGAGGATTAGGACCTGTTTGACTACACCTGCCTGAGCGGGACAAGACATAGAGGGCTGAGCCAGCACGTACATTACTGCAGCTCCTAGCATCCCAGGGCTGTCTGTCTTATTGATTGTGCAAACTAATCAAATGAGTCACTTCTTTTCAATTCTTCGTTTTTTCAAAGAAAGTAATTTAACCTGTCCGTGCATTTTCTCTTCTCCAAACATATTCTAGACCTTGTTCTCCAACGATACCTGCACAGCCTGCATTATTTCTAACGAAAAAGCGAATTGTAATACTAATAATAAATTGCCCTTTTAAATAATATGCATTTATCACTTCCTAATAATTTACTATCAGTTTACTATTAATTTTTATGCGTATCTTATTGACAAGTGTTTTGTTTTTTTATATTGTTATTTGTCTGCAAAAGGTAAATTATTGTTTACGTTCTGTCCACACGATGCCACAATTTTCTAGGCAAGTGAGTTGAATAGAAATGTATATGATTTTTTTTAGTTTGAAGCTTGCTAAGTGAACATAGCCATTTCATTGTTAGCAATATCATACACCCCTATGGATTCCTGGTATGGGTTACAGCCACTGGCATACCTACCACGGTCGCAGGGGTCGCAGCTGCGACCGGGCCCCTCACTCCAGGGGGCCTGGCTGCAGTCCCGACCCCTGCAACCGTGGGCTGCCTGGATACCTTATGGCCCGGTGCACAGCCGCACTGGCCCGGGTCCGCGGTTCCCCGAGGTCTGGCAGGAAAGGAGAGCTGCACTGTGTTGCTCCCCTCCTGCCTGTGTGTAGCGTGGCCGAGCGGTCTGACAGGAAATGCACAGGAACCGCTGCCAGTAAGGTACAGGAGGTGAGGGAGCAGAGAGAGAGGATATGGGATACAGGGAGGGAGCAGAGAGAGAGGGTATGGGATACAGGGAGGGGAGGGGGTAGAGAGAGAGGGTATGGGATACAGGGAGGGGAGGGGGTAGAGAGAGAGGGTATGGGATACAGGGAGGGGAGGGGGTAAAGAGAGAGGGTATTGAATACAGGGAGGGAAGGGGGGAGAAATGGAGGGTATGGGACACGGGGAGGGAGGAGAAATGGAGGGTATGGGACACCTCGAAGGGAGGGGGGAAAGAGGGAGAAATGGTCGGGAGGGGAGGGGGGAGAGAGGGAGAAATGGGACACCTGGAGGGGTGGGGGTAGAGAGGGAACAATGGGACACATGGAAGGGAGGGAAGGGAGGGTATGGGACACATCGAAGGGAGGGGAACAGAGGGCAGAATGGGACACAGTGGGGGGGGTGAGAGGGAGGGTATGGGACACAGGGAGGGGAAAAAGAGAAATGGGATACATGGAGGGGACGGGAGGGAGGAGGATATGAGAAACATGGAGGGGCTAAGGGGGAGAGGGAATGGGACACATGAAGGGGCTGGAGGAGGAGGAGCCTATGGGACAGATGGAGGGGCTGTGGGACAGAAGGAATGAGGCACATGGGGGGGCCCGGACATGGGAATAATACACAGAGGGGGGATAAGACACATGGCAGGGGACCTCAGGACAATCTTTCACACCGGGGCAGTGGATTCTAGTTACAGCCATTATGACCATAGTTTACTACCGTTACTTAAAGGTTTCTGATGAATGCAAGGGGTGATTATGATACCCTACTACAACCACTTCAATTATATTCCCATGCATGTGGCGTGAAAAATGTGTTATTAGCAGGTTCTATGTTTTTATATGCTCTGAATGTTTTGGTAGAATGAACACATTTTAGCAGTTGGTATCAGAGGTTCATGCCCAGTGAATTAACCATTCTTTATTGAATAACTATTTAAACCTCGAGGGAGAAACAGATTACCAAAGCAGACAGACAGGTATTAACTGAGTTTTCCACAAAAGCATGTTTTTTGTTATATCTTAATTATTTTTTATTTATTTTTTTATTTAGAACTTGTGATATTTTAATCCACTGAAAGACCTGAAGAATTGACCACAAACATGGAGATCCAGGATACTTCACCAGCAAAGGGATTAAAATGCTGTGCCATTTCTAATACTCCCTCAATGTTTTACGGCCCACAAGATGGTGTCTTCACCAAATGTTAACACTAGTGGCAGCTAAAGCTCAGTTACATCCTGCTTGTGAATATATATATATATTTTTTTTTTGGTAATATTGTGTAAATTGAACATCCAGTAAGTAACATCTCAGCATATTAACAGTGCAAAGATGTAGACTAAGGATTGGCAAAAACACAAAGGTAGGCCAATCCTGAAACAAGTGTTACAGTACCAACAAAAGAAAATGGGATTATGAATAATAGGATCTGGTAACAATGACAGCTCGCAACTATTAAAATTGCACCCAAGAGCGGCCTGAGCATTCCAGTTCCCTGAACTACTACCTAAGGATATTCTTTCTGTATAAAGCAAGATTATGTCTTTCCTTGATAGTCACACAATTACAGTATTTATCTTCTTCCAATGCAAAGGGTTGTTGTCTCTGTTGTTGATGTTACAGCCTGCATTATTTTTAATGAAAAAGCTAATTTTATTACAAAATCCTGATGTTGATCACATGTCTGGAAAGTAAGCAACAGGCATGGAAAAGCTGGAGAGGGTGATATCATTTTTCTAGAGTTGACTACAAACATGGAAGAGGGATCCCGTAATAAAGAACCAATATGAGCATGGACTAAAAAAAAAAAAAAAAAAAGGACAAAATAAGATAAAGGACAGGGGGTGTAAAATAGCATACTATAGAAAGAAGAGCTGAATAAATAAATAAAAAAGACAGGAACAAAAGTGGGCAACAAGATAAATTTTAAAAAATGGAATAAAAAAAATATCCAGCAATTGACAGACACAATTTTTCACCCAGGCAGTCATCATCTGGAGAAGACTGGAAATATCTGCCTAGAGGTCTATCCTCATGAAAAAGACAGCTCCACAGCATGACTCCCATCATATCGTGCTTTCCCCTGCTGTCCATAGAGTGGATGTTCAATGAACTTTTTTAGAATTTGCTCCCTGTAAGAAGAAAACCGCCCTAAGGCATAATACAAAATAAATCTACTAACCTCTCTCATCCACCATTAAGTAAAGTCAGCAAAACTAATGATACAGTTTGTGTATGTAATAATATATAAACAGGCTGCATTACAACATTCAGCTATGCTGTTAGGTGGTCAGTAGACTTGCGCAAGGTGAAAAAAAATTAAGTTCAGCTGAATTGATTTGATTGAGGGGAATAAAGAACCCAAATAACTAATGATAGAACAGGTTGCCACCAAAACTGATCTTTCTTAAAATTGAGACATATATATTCACAAGTTCAGCACACTCACTCATTAAACACCAACTTCAAAGCTCACAAATTGTAATAGGTTCTTTTTTTGTCTTTTTTTTTAAACACCTGACTTAAGCAAAAATAATGGGGTTTTAGTTAAGTACATGATCATACATTGCATCAGCGTGCCACAACGTCAATGTACCCTATTTTTGGGAGATCCTTCTCTAACAGCCTAATGCCTGATCTTATGAGATTATCCCACTTACTTAAGAAAGCCTTCCTCCTGGGATTTTCTGCAGTTCAAGTGTAAATAGGGCCCTGAAATGAGGGACTGGTGACAAGGAGGGGTTCAAAGCCACAGGAGTTGGCCTACTCCTAAATATATTTGCATATGAAACAAAGATGGCTGCCCTAACCTGAACATGCATACATTATATGGATGTTGCTGGGACCAATTAATACTACATACAAGATCCAGTGAACGTGCTCCACCCCCAAAACGTGCCATAATGACATCAACACGTCTGACGGGTTGCCATAGTGACGTGGGAAGCCACAACATCCCTATGTAAACAAAAGTGCTACTGTAATGTGCCGATATGATATATGGAAGAAAAAGTGATTGGTGCAAATATGGAAGCTACTAAAGTATATATACTATGGCAACCTGTCAGAAGTGTTTACATGAACACGGCATGTTTGGGGGTGGAGCACCTTCATGCATGCGCAGTACACTGGGCAGGACGCCGACGGTTACAAGCCACAGCTGGGGTAAATTCACTTGTCATTTACTTACACATATATATTGAATGCATTTATGTTTCTGTTATATGTTGTTCTTTGATCCTGAAGAAAGTCCCAGAGGTGGAAAGGTAGCCTCACCCTTTCATGTTTGCCAGCTCATTAATGTTATATTGTTGGTCTGGTCCTCTTATCCTGAGTTCCCTGTATCCAGAGGCCTGTCCTGCCTTTCCTATATCCAGATGCCCTTCTGCTACATTCAGTTATCTGGGTTTTTATTTTATTTAACTGCTTTCCTTAAATATCAATACACTTGTTTTTGTGCCTTTATTTGTGTGTATATTAGTTTCTTTGCATTCTGGGTTCCACCTTATAGAGATTGCTGCACTGGTCAGCACCCCTTCCCGACCAAACCCATGACAATTACAGTATGCCAGAGGCGGTGAGGTATGTCAAGGTGTTGTCTACCGGGCTTGGTATCAAGAGATCCTTGAAATTTCCACTTCTTAATAAGTGATTGAACAGTACTGACTGGCATTTCAAGGCTTTGGATACCTTTTTATATATTTTTCCATCTTTTCAAAGGTTCTTTACCTTTCTATGCGGGTCTTTTGAAAGTTCTTTTCTGCTCCCCATGGCTCAGTATCTAGGCTCCTCAGTGCATCCACGTGAGAGCTAACAAACTAATTGATTATACACAGACACTAATTGCAATTTAAAAAGCCACAGGTGTGTGACATTAACCTTTAATTGCCATTTTAACCTGTGTATCACTTTGTGTGTCTGTAACAAGGCCAAACATTCAAGGGTATGTAAACTTTTGATCAGGACCATTTGGATTAAATCTGTTATCATTATGATTTAAAAAAGAGCCAAACAACTATGTGATAATAAATGGCTTCATATGATCACTATTCTTCAATAAAATACATTTTTTTGCATGATCAGTCATATTTTTAAAATCAATGCCAACATTTTTACAATTTCTTCCAGGGTATGCAAACTTTTGAGCACAACTGTATATGCATATATATATGTGGAATTATGAGGCAAAAATTAGCTCATTTGCATACGCCTACCCAGAATCCTTTGCAGTAGTGAGAGCACTGTTAAAGTGAGATTTCTGTGGGAAAAAGAAGTCTTATGGCTTGACTGGTATGTGTATTTGTGTTTAGCAATGTATTAACTGTATATAAAAAAATTGATTTTCTCACCCCTCCTGGGTGGTATGTTTATTCCTCATTCTCGGGTCCTCTACCAGAGACCTGGGAGTTTGAGGGTTCTCACAGTATCTTAGCTATTCCTAGAACTGCACTCTTCTGGAAAGCGATCTCAGATGTCCCACCTGGAATCTGTTGAAGCCACTCCCCCAACCTGAGTGCTCCTATCACAACTGGGGCTACTACTGCCTTCACTTTCCACATCCTTTCTAGTTCTTCTTTCAGTCCTTGGTATTTGTCCACCTTCTCATGTTCCTTCTTCCTGATGTTATAGTCACTGGGTATTGCCACATCCACCACGACTGCAGTCTTTCGTTCCTTGTCTACCACCACGATGTCTGGATGGTTGGCCAGCACTTGCTTGTTTGTCTGGATCTTAAAGTCCCACAGGATCTTACCCCTGTCATTCTCAACTACCCTTTGTGGTATCTCCCATCTGGACTTAGGCAGGTCCAATCCATATTCTGTGCAGATGTTTTGGTACACAATACCAGCAACTTGGTTGTGTCTCTCCATCTATGCTGTTCCTGCTAACATCTTGCATCCGGCTACTAGGTGCTGGACTGTCTCAGAGGCCTCTTTGCACAGTCTGCACCTTCGGTCTTGCCTGGTGTGATAGACTCCATCTTCTATTGATCTGGTGCTGAGTGCCTGCTCCTGTGCTGCTAGGATTAGTGCCTCAGTGCGGTCTTTCAGTCCTGCCTTTTCCAATCACTGGTAGGATTTTGTCATGTGAGCCACATCCACTATCTGCCGGTGGTACACCCCATAGAGAGGTTTGTCTTGCCAAGGAACCTCCTCTTATTTTGCATCCTCGATCTGTGGAAGTCTTTAGCATTCCCTTAGCAGTTCATCTTTGGGAGCCATCTGCGTGATGTACTTGTGGATGCTCTGTGTTTCATCCAGGACTGTGGCCTTGACACTCATCAGGCCCCGACCTCCTTCCTTCCGGCAGGTGTACAGTCTCTGGGTGCTGAATTTTGGGTGGAATCCTCCATTCATAGTGAGAAGTTTCCTGGTCTTAACATCCATGGTGACCAGTTCTTCTCTTGGCCAGGCTATTATTCCAGCTGGGTACCTGATGACTGGTAGTGCATATGTGTTTATGGCTTGGATCTTGTTCTTGCCATTGAGCTGGGACTTCAGGACCTGTCTGACTCTTTGGAGGTACTTGGATGTTGCTATCCTCCTTGCCTCTACCTCATGGTTGCCATGCGTTTTTGATACCCCTAGGTACTTGTAGCTGTTCTCTACATCTTCTATTTGGCCTTCTGGAACTTAAACTCCTTCTGTCCTGATAATCTTCCCTCTTTTTACTATCATCTGCCTGCACTTCTTTAGTCCGAACAACATTCCGATGTCCTTGCTGTATATCCTAGTTAGGTGGATCAGTGAGTCAATGTCTTGCTCATTCTTGGCATACAGCTTGATGTCATTCACGTAGAGTAGGTGGCTGGTGGTAGCTCCTCTCTTGAGTCTGTATCTGTATCCACTCTTCTTGATGATCTATATATTTAAAATCTCAAGTATAACATGTCAGGCCTTAAAAGGTACTCACCACTGCAATCCTGGAGGGTTCATGGCACCATTATTAGGGGTTAATTTATACTTACCAGAGCTAGTAAGGATGCCATTGCTATTTGCAAATGGAAAAATCGAGCCACTAGCTATTGTCAAGTAAAAATGTATCCATCCATAAATATAGCATTTTATTTTGAGTATACTGGGAAAAAAACTACATTTTGTTTCGTTACCATTGAAAACTACAGTTTAATCTCCTATTCAGCAAGTTTATAACCCCTATTAAGCCTGCAGGATGAAGGATACTGTAAAGAGTGCCTTTTATTTTAGTGAAAAATACTATTATTTACCTTACTAGCTGTGTTTGAACATTTCTATGATGTAATTTATCTATGCGTTACTGTAAGAAGGTTTTACATGCTGTAGAATAGTCACACAAAGACCACAAAGAGACCGATTAAATGCTGACCTTCCTTTGCACTGGGATGTTGCCTCTGGTCAGAACACCTGTCGCAGGTCCATGTGAGTTGGAGAAGGACCAGAGGCAAAATGAGGCAGTCTGTTCAGAAAAAGGTCCAATAACAATCCAAAGGTCAAAAACCAAGAGAGAATCATCAAACAGGACCACGAAGGTCAACACAGGCGATAAATCAGAAATAAGCTTGACAAGGTCCAGAGATCAGACCAATGCAACAGAGAATAGTCTGCAAGTCAAGGCAAGCTTGAATTGCTGATTCAACAAGAAAGAGAAGCTTGAACACCTTAAAAATAATGTAAGTGCAAATATTGCAGAGCAGGATATTCTACTGAAATGGTGATAAAACCATACATATGAAAATGCCAAATAGTGTGCATGACTATTGGTGCATATATATGCTATCATTGTTTATGAAGAATAAGTATATTAAGTTTATCTCCACA